CCAAATTTTGGGTATATGTGGGTGCAGGTTCAAGTCTGTGTACTTCCTGCTAGAATGGGACCATATGGGTAGGGGGGAGTTGGGAGTCAGGTGGCCCCATGCTCAGCAGGGATATGAGTGGAGAAGCATTTGGATAGCTGACATCCAGGAAACCTCATGCATCTGTTTTGAGGAGGTGGGGAATGAGGGTTTGCTAGGAGAGAAAAGAGTAGCTTTTTATCACTGGCCTTATGAACAGGGATAGCCATTGGTAATAGGAAGACTTCCAGAAAGAATGAAACTGAGAAGTGTCCTGGTTGTACAGAAGAGTCAAGGGTGAATGAGGGAGGCATGAGTGCAGATATGTCCTTAATTGGGCCATCTTGGAAAACAAGGTTTGAGTTGCTGGGTTGGTGCCGACTTGTGCCTGTAGAGGTGGTACCAGCAGTGAAGTCCCAGGGACTTGGGGAGATAGCATGCTAAATCTAGGGATGATGTTTTCCAGGATTACTGGAGCCATAACATCTGCTGTTTTTCAGAATGTTTAGAGATTATCCATCCTGAAATTTGTCAATAAGAGTTAAGAGACATGGAGCCTTTTTATGTGCAGGCATGTGGGTGAAATCCACCTGTTAGTGTTTGTCCATTTGACATCCTTGTTTGGTGGTTGGCATTCTCAGAGCTGTTGCTCAAGCTGGTGTATCTGTAGGGCGCCCTGTGGGTTTGGCCTTGGTCCAGAAAGGAGGAGTGAACCTACAGAATATGCTCCAAAATTTGTGGTGTCAAAAATAGGCTTTGGAAACAGAAATTAATTTCCATTAAGTCAGACTTCTTTATAAGTAGCAGAGCCCTTTTCCCATGAGCATTCAGCTGTCTGTAAAACTACTGGGACAGATTTACATCTTGGTGTCATAGTACAAAGCTATGGCTTTGGGTTAAAAGGCATGAATATTTTTAAGTCTAAATTCACTGAAGAACAGAGGTTGTATGAGTGAAGGAGGAAGGAACTGAACATGCCTGCAGGGTTCTATATCCTCTCTAATGCTAACCTAGCTCTAAAAGCTGGACCAGTAAAATTCACAAAAATTTAAGGAACCCTGTAAACTGTTTGTCATTTTTTTTATCAGTTTGTCAGAACTGCATTTATCAAACCTAAAACTTTGAACCTCTGAAGTTATATCTGAAACTAGTTTATCCTGTACCATGGAGTCTGTGAATGAGGCACACCTGTCTTTATTTTTAAGAGGAAACTTACTAATGAGCTACTAAGGTGCTTTTAGGTTTGGGGTTGGTTGTGTTGTTAAACTGGCAAATCTCTTAGTACCCTAGTCATCAAACACCATGAGATCTGAGAAGGATAAGTAAATGAGCAGGAGTGAGCCAGCTTTCCAGTTACCCAGGCAGTCCCAAGTCTCTCTGTGGTCACTGGGCGACAAGTCCCAGAGGTAGCACTTGTTCAGAGGCCAAGCACAGAGGATCCAACAGATTCTTTCTGGAGTAGAGATTTGGGGAAATCAGCCTACCTGTCTTGCAAGAGTTGCACAATCGTTCCCCCATTGCCCCCCTTATTCAATGTCTGGACATGATCTCAGCAGCAGTTAGTGGTGTAAAGCAGCTTTTCATTGTTGGCTGGCTTTGTTACATAAGAGGCAAGCCTCCAGGTGGAAGTTCTTCTGTGGCCATGCATCTTCTGGAGAAGATACAGGATGCTTCCAGGAGTTGGCATGTCTCTCATAAAAAGCTTTTCTATTAAATGCCATATTCCCAGATCTCAGAGTGTTTGAGAAGGGGGGAACAAAATCTGTTAGGTATACCTAAATTAGACAAATGTTGTTTAGGTTTAACTTTGAGGGCATATGTTGGTTAAGTCTAAACATACAGTTTACCCAATTAGTTACAGCTTACCAATGTTAGTAAAAGCCAGAAGATTCAGTCTGTAGTTTTTAGTGGTGATCCTAAGATATATCAGGCAAAACCAAGTTTTAACCTTGCAAACAATTTGTATTTTAATATCAATGATCAAAACAAGCATTGTTTTAACTCCTGTTTAATAAACCTTGTTTTTAGGACAGGACAGAAATTATCAAACAGAAATATATCCTAACCCAAATTAAATTGGAATCCTAATGTCTCCTTGGTGGTGCCAGTCCAAGTGGTTACCCTTACCAAAGATGGTGGTGAAGTATTTCTTTAAACTCAATCACATGGCAGCTGGTGATGTTATTTAGAAAAGTTTCCATGTGGAGTCACAAGCCTTACAGATTTTAAAACATGCCCAATTAGCAAGAAACTTTCAGGACACGTAAACTCAGGCATTCAAAACTAGTCAGAAACACACATGTGTCCACATCATTCACATATTTCCCCCACACAAATAAAGTAAACAGGATCATTAACTGAATCAATTTTTTTAATGAGGCTCCCAGCAGTTTGGGCAGCCTGATACCCAGATCCCAGAGAAGGCACTGCAGAGGGAAACTGAAAAAGAGAGAAGCAGCACATGCTGCCAAGTTGAGTAAGTCAGAGCAGCAATTTGAGAATTTTGGAAAAAGAGATTTTTAGGAGGGAAGATGGTGTAGCAGAGTGTTGTACTGAAGGAGAACAGGTTTAAGGGTAGAGTGGGCAGGTCCAGTTTTAGGGGTAGGGAGTATGGGAACAGGAAACCCCCTGGGCTGCAGCGAGGTGGTGGCGGTGGTGGTGAAGGTGGTGGAAGTTAGAGGTGGTGGTGGTTATGGTGGTGTGGTGGTGGCAAAATCTCTGGTGGAGGAAGGAAAGAATGAGGGAGCAAACAGTCAGACAAACAGGCTGCAGACATTCATGCTGTAGTTCAGGGTGTGAGAACAGACAGGAACAAAGACAATGGATGTTTTATGGGGATAATCCCAGTGTGACCAGATCATATAAGAGGAAGGAGTGAGGCAGGCAGACAGTCAAACAGAACAGGGGAGTGAGAGGAATGGGAGCATTAGAATCACAGTGTGGCCAAACTGTACACTGGGAACCAGATGCAGAGTAACAGGGAAAGAGAGACGAATGGGAGCAATATTCTTGCAGCCCCAATTTGGAGGAGACAAGCCCAGAGTTTCTGGGGACAGAAATTGGACTCAGCAAGTACCCTTTCACAAGACATTTGCTGGGGATGTGGTTGTGAGGGCAGGTACACAAATTGCATCTGGGAGCTGTGTGTGGGGTGGACTCTGATGAAGTCTCTCTCACACAGGGGAATTCCAAGGGGAGCGACTATTGCTCCCTGAAACAGGCTGGAGTAGCCTGACACTGCAGTGGCTCAGCAGGCAGTCTGGAAGTTGGAAGAGGTCCTGGACCTCAAAGACAATTTTGTTTGGGATGGGAGGCTTACTGAGCTGTTCATTCATTGTGGCAAAGGTGGAGTGGGGAGAAGGAGTGAATGGCCATCCACAGCCACAACACATGGTTGTGGAAGGACTACTCACCCTGGACAGTACACCAAAGATAAGTATTGGATCTCTGGTTGGTGGGTTCCTACGTCACCAATGCAATGAGCCAAATCAAACTGAATTAATTAATCCAGATTTATTAAACAGGGCAGCGCAAAGCAGAACACTCCTAGGTGGCTCTTAGGAAAGCTGGAGTCAGATCACGAGAGCACCCATGGCAGATGTATGGACTGGGTCTTAAATAGCTGGAAGGCATGGTCCCAGACATCGCTGGGGGAAGAGCCATGGATGTCGGGCTTTCTACAATGGGGCTGCCTGAGCAGGAGATTTCAAACAGTTTGAAAAAATGTTAATGGGTCCTGAAATTTAATGAAAAGCAACTGTGTGAATTGGCACAACTTTATGATGATTATTAAATTGTCACAGCACCATTCACTCCAATGTCAGGTAGCTGATCACTGTTTGCAAAGCATTCCTTTAAGAACAAGACAAGAAAACAAAGCCATAGTAGATGTCACAGTTTCAATCATAGCCATGTGAGAGGCATGTTGTTGAACTGTCCATCCAATTACCATCATGCCTTACAATTATCATATCATTGATGAGGGCATTAGTGTATGGCCAAGAACTTTTATAAGCAAAGCTTTGGTATTAAAGCTAGTGTTGCTCATATACTTGTATTGCGTGATTTAGCATAGTTTAGTGAGAGGAGCACTTTATGAGAGACCAGGAGGTTGTCTTGGTGTAGAAACATGAATCTCTATACCACATCTGTATGACACACAAAACATTTGACTATGTGAATGCAATGTGAAAACCTTTTATTTGTCATCTTCCTTTAGCAGGTGTGTCATCTGTCGCTCTGGACACTATCCATGTGAGCATAAGGGACATGGAAAGAAGCATTGTTCTTCTGTCTCTCTCAGAACAACTGGAAGATATATGGTAGTCCCCACTATGAGAAGACATGATGCTGGTGATACAAGTTTACACTTAATTGGTTTTCCAACGTCAGTGAGAATTCATCAAGAAACTCTCATCGCAGACAAACTTTACCAGGAAAATGGAAATTCATCTCCCTCTTCTGATTCACTGTGCACATGTAGTGTGGCTCACAGTATAACAAAATGTTATGAATCCAATCAATGTTCTCTGATTTCTTCAAGTTCTCTTCAAAGATGTGAAAAAGCTCATGTGGGAGGAGAAAATAATAAATGTGAGTCATCAGCTATAGGCTTTAGGCTTGACAGGCATCATCAAACACACCACAGAACCAATAACAAAGAGGCTCTCTATGAATGTAATCAACATGCTAAAGCCTTTAGATCTGATTACTTTTTCAAAGTATACCAAAGAAGTCATTTGAAAGGAAAACCCTATGAATATAATCAAAGTTATAAAGCCATTGCATGTGACAGTCTTCAGCATCAAGTACATAGACATCAAACTCGAGAGAAATGTTATGAATGCCATCAGTGTAGTAAAGTCTTTGTACATATGA